GGAGCTATTGTACAGACAGGAGATAGATGGTAGTGGCATTGACTCTCTGGTTTGGGTGCCTAACTCTCAGGGGAGATTCGAGGTTCGTTCCCTATTCCGTTGTCTCTCTGATTTTCATGGTTCTAATTTCCCTTGGAAGACAATATGGCGTTCCAAGGCTCCCCGCAAAGTGACCATCTTTGTTTAGACTGTTGTTTGGGGCAAAATTTTGACCCGAGATAATTTGAGAAAGAGAAGACAAGATTATTGTCAATTGGTGTTGTTTGTGCAAGAGGAGTGGTGAGTCTGTGGATCACCTTCTTTTGCATTGCCTTGTTGCTCACAACTGTTGGAGCCTTATCTTTGGCCTTTTTGGAGTCCATTGGGTTATGCCTCAGTCCTCGAGGGGTTTGATTGACGCTTGGCGAGGCTGTAGTGTGGGAGCCCACACCCGTGAGTGTTGGAGGGTGGTTCCCTTTGTGTTTGGTGGTGCTTATGGAAGGAGCGGAATAGAAGATCTTTTGAAGGGGAGGAATCTTCTTTAGGGGCTTTAAAGTTTTATATTATTAGCTCTCTTTTTAGTTGGGTTTTGCGGAGAAATTGTGTACCCCATTGATGAGTTTATTGATTTTTTGGGTTCAGTGGGTCCTTAGGACCTTGTCTCTGGCTTCGGGCTCTGTATGGCTCTTGGGATGTGTTTCTTGTTTAAACACTTTCTAATACATTTTACTTATAAAAAAAATACAATATAGATAGAAAATAAGCCTAAGTGACTTGAGCAAGGATTTCTTTAGAAGAAAGAACTGCAACACCGAGGACAGATAATCAAAGGAATCTTCCAACTTTAGAAATAGATCTAGATACTCCCCTGTGAAGTCTATAATTTCTCTCATGCCAAATACCCCACAACACAACCACAAACATCATCTTGGAAAGTTTGGAGGATTTGAAATTGTGAACACCAGGCTGTGAGCTGATTATATTAGGATTCTAATATTTCATAATTTGATTCTTAATATCCCCTTTTATATGTACATAAATGTTTTGGAAATAGAGGATTGGCAAGGAGGACATTTGTATGGGAGTTTCCTCTTATAATCAGAGTTTGTTCATGGAGATAGAGGATTGGCATCCTTTGCTCATTTTGATTCTAATTCTAAGTTGGACGAAATCGTTCTGTAAAGGCCGTTCTCTGAAGAGGAAGTTTTTAGAGCCTTGAAGAGTTGCAACGAGAATAAAGCCCCAGGTTCGGATGGGTTCTCTATGAGATTTCTCCTTAACAGTTGAGGGGGGAGGTTATGGGCACTTTCTCTGCTTTTCACTTACGGGCATTTTGAAAAGAGTCTGAATGCGACGTTTATTGCCCTCATTCCAAAGATGGGGGGAGTGTCGGACGTCAAGGATTTTAGACCTATCAATTTGGTAAGGAGCATTTATAAGTTGATTGCTAAGGTTCTGGCTTTGAGATTGAGGGAGGTGTTGGACAATGTCATTTCAGATTCTTAGAATGCTATTGTAGGAGGCTGTTGTATTCTTGATTCTGTCCTTATAGCTGGCGAGTGCGTGGATTCTAGGCTCAATTCTGGGGCGCCTGGTGTTCTATGCAAATTGGATATTGAGAAGGCTTATGACCATGTTAGTTGGAGTTTCCTAATCTAACCTTTTGGAGAGGATGTTTGATGGATAATGCCCCTTGACTCAAAAAAACTTTTGAAAAAAATTACCTTAATATTCAAGGGCATTGTTAGTTCTAAGATGATGGTATAACCTCCTCATCTTCAAAGAAGAGGGGAGGGGTTCGAGCTCGGGCGTGGGCAAAAAAGAGTGTGTGTGTTTGCTTTACCATCCAAAAAAAAAAAAAACAAAAAAAAGTAATTTTACATCAAACTGATTTTGAATTTCAGCATAAAAGGATTGAAAAACAGAGAACACCTGAGATCTACTTTTATATAAACCCAAGTTAAACGTGAATAATCATCAGTACATGACACAAAATAACGAGCACCAAATAAACCAGTAGTACGAGCTGGTCCCCAAACATCCGAACGTACTAACTCGAAAGGTTTCATACTCTTATTATCAAAATGAGACTTAAAAGTAGCCCGACGATGTTTTCTTAGATCGCAAGTAGTACAATTAAACTTAGAAAAATCAACTAAAGAAGGGACCAAGGCGCAAGGCTCGAAGACTATTTGAAGAGGGATGTCTATGGCGGCAATGCCACTGATAAGTTGAAGATGAGGTGGAATATAGAGCTGTCGGAGCAGGAGTTGGCTAGAAGTAGTAAAGTCTATCCTTCTCAAACCACCAATCATTTTCTTCGTCTTGGGATCCTAAAATAGACAACGGGAAGGGGAAAATTAACTGAGCAATTTAAATTTGATATGATTTTGCGAACTCACAGCAAATTAAATGAAAATTGAGGGATATATAAAACTGATGAAAAAGTGAGACTCGAAGTGCGGAAGGTACCAATTCAATGAACATGTGATTTGGTACCATTCGCTATAGTAACGACCAATGGTGAGAAAATATGAGAAATATCAGAAAGAAGAGATGAGTTACTTGTCATGTGATCAAATGCCCCTGAATCAATGATCCAAGGTGCAGAAGATGAAGCATGGAGACGGGTATTACCTGAAGTAACAGTAGTAGCGGTGGAGGAGGAGGGCTGATTTGCACGCTCACGCTTTACTAGAGAATCATACTCAGCTTTGGAGAGAACTACTTGTTCATTCGCAAGAGTGGGAGTATTCTCCGCTTGAACTGAAAGTCTGATTAGCCCAAGTTGGCTTGCCATGAAGAGCCCAGCAGAAGTTAACAGAGATTTTTTCATTCACAATGAGTACACTTCTTGCTGCCGCGACCCCCTTTGCCGTCACGAGTACCATAGCTTGGGTTGGAAGGACCTCTGCCCCCTCGTCCACCACCGAAAGTATCATGTTGCTCAGTAGGAACAACAAGAGCAGAGTGGGTTTCTTTCTCAATCACAGGGGCATGAATAGATGCTCTTCAAACTCGAGCAAAAGTCTCACTAGTTGTGGGTGTCTCCTTGCCAGACAAAATCTACAAACTGATTGGAGCGAGTTTCGGTTTAAGTCCAGATAGAAATTTTGCCACCTGATACTCCTCCCCGTGCCTTTTCTTTTGTTCTACGTTTGTAGTCAATGGTTGGTAGATATTCAATTCTTCCCACGTACCATTCAGTTCCGAGTAATAATCTTCAATAGAATGATCTCCCTGATGGAGATTAATGTCCTGGTACAACTGATAAATACAAGAAATATTCTTCTCTGAAGAATATTCATTTTCCCAGATATCCTTGGCAGATTTTAGGAAAGAAACATTGTTAAAGATCTCAGGCTCAATTTGAGCATCATCTTTCTCCTAAGCCTTAATAATCTTTTCATCAGTGGTGGGTTTGGTTGATTGAAGATAGGGAACACCTCTACGGCTTGAGACCATTGAAGGTAGTTCGAGCCTTTTAGTTTGGTGCTAATGATTGACCCAAGAAGATGAGAGTCCTTGGTATCCATAATGAGGGCTGCTGAATAAATGAGATATAGTAACGAGAGGGAGTCAAGATGAGAAAACCAAGATCAAGTCGAGATGAATCTGTGAGAAATTGTCGAGGAGAGAGCAGAGAGAGATTGCCGAGACGAGAACCGAGATCACTGAGGAGAGATCGCCGAGAAAAGATTGCCGAGAGAAAGCCAAGATGGAATCAAGATTGGATTACTTTTGGGTTCTTTGGGTCCATAGGACTCTCCCTTTCTCTTTTTTTGGTTTTTGTACAGCTCTTGGGACGTGTTCCCCTTTTGAATGCTTTCTAATACATTTTTACTTATCCAAAACCAAAAAAAAGATTGGATTATGAATAAGACTATAAAAAAAAAGAAAAAAAAAAATTAAAGAGGGATCGATTTACGCTCTGATACCATGTTGAAAGAGAGAATATATGAAAACGTATATCTTATTGAGTGAATAATACAATAATAAAACAGTGTTTATATAGGAGAAGCTACAGGAATAGGTGAGTGGAGAACAAGTAAACCCTATACATGGTAATGCTATATATGGTAATGAGGGGTAGGTGAAGGCGGTTACAGAATACAGAAAATACTAATAAACCCTAATATACAATGTAATCTAACTGTACACGTGTGACAACTCTACAATACTATACAACATTTATATAGACATCACGCCTTGTTATATTCAACTATTGAATAAGGGATTTGTAGAATTGTAATAAATTTTAAAATCTATCCATAGAGTAACTTAACTTAGAAGATGGTACTATGTGAATATCATTAAGATTATTATATATGTATAATGTACCCGATATAAAGATTATTATATTATGTATAATGTACTCGATATAAATGCAAAAGTACCATTTCATGCTTGAAGTGTGGTGACTATTTGGTATACTGTCAATCTTTCTTAACTGAATTTTTTTGGCACTTTGATTTCCAAGGTTGTCTAATGTGATTGCTCTTAAATGTGTCTTATATAAGATTTGTATTGATGTGTATAGAATGTGCCGGTCAAGTATCTGGGATATGTCGGCAAACCTCCTAGATGCATGCTTAGCAGAAAAAGGAAGTCTCCTAGATGTTTCTGCTAAGTGTCCACTGTCCAAAAAAATGATATTTTTTTTTCTTTTGTAAAATTAGAGACACGTCCGCGAAGTGTTGGATATGCATTCAAGAATATTCATGTGGTGGCGGTGCCTGACACGTGTCTAACATGGACATGACACTTTCATAGAAGTGTTCGTTCTTCTTAGACTGGCCAATTGATTTAGTGTTTTGACAACCATGTTAGCAGCAGAGATTGCCTTGCAGCCCTTTTAGATGATAGTTTAAAGTGTAAAAACATCCCAAGGCTGCTGGATGTTTGATAAATGTTTTTTTTTTTTTTTTTTTTTTTTTTTTTTTTTTTTTTTTTTTTTCTGTAATTTTGTTTTTAGTTTGAATCGTTGCTTTCAATACTTATGGAAGGTTTGTTAAATACAGGATGTTCATGAGAGGTTTCGTACCGAATCTCATACCAAGGCTGCTGGACGCTTTAATGAACGTTTTTTATTATCACTTGCATCATGCAAAGCATGTGTAGTAATGGATGACGAGCTGAATATTCTACCAATTTCTTCTCATATGAAGTCGATTACCGCTGTTCCAGTTAGGGAGGTAACCTTCTGCTTCCATGAACTTCTTATTGGTTTGAGTACTTCATGATATAGAATTGTTTTGAAGTGGTATGTGCCAATTGTACCTTGAATGCAAAATTTAAGTGTTTGTGTGATGCTTTAATGAAAATGCTTAATGGAAAGGTTGTCGGCTTAATATGTTCTTAGGCTATGTTTTGTTTGATTTTTCTTGGTTGATGTATTTACTAAACTGATTAATTAAAGGATTTGGAGGGGCTTTCCGAAGCAGAGCGGGATCTGAAGATTCTGAAAGAACAACTAAATGATGATTTTCCAGTTGGTCCTCTTCTTAGGAAGTGTTGTACAATGGACCAGGTATCAGTTGTGTGTTTCATCTTTGTCGAATTCAAATTGCCTGTCAGGTTAAATGGTGGTTTTATAGCTTAGCTTCTTGTTTAATTTTTTGAATAGGGAAAAGCTGTCATTACATTTCTTGATGCAATTTTGGACAAGACACTTCGTACCACAGTTGCTTTGCTTGCTTCTCGAGGACGGGGGAAGTCCGCTGCACTTGGTCTAGCAATTGCTGGAGCTATTGCTGCAGGGTAATGCACTTGAAGATATTTAGTTTGTTAAAATTCTATCTATTTTCATTTCTTTCCATATAAACCCTCTTTAATGACTGATTCGAAAATATATCTTTGCAGGTATTCGAATATCTTTGTAACTGCACCGAGCCCTGAGAATTTGAAGACTTTGTTTGAGTTTATATGTAAGGGATTTGATGCACTTGAATATAAGGTATGGTTGTTTCCATCCATTCGGATGAGGTACAATATCTTTTGATTAATCTCTTGTCTAATCATAATCCTAACAGAGTTTAAAAGGCGCCAAGAGGGGAGCGCTCTCAAAAGAATACACAAGACGCCAAAGGCGACAACTTTAGCTTTAAGCTATCCCCAAAATCCAAAAAATATCCCATAGATCTACAATTATGCCCATGAACCCAAAAAAAAAAAGAAAGGAAACAATATATATTGTATTTGAGAGACCAAATAGGACTCTCTTCACCCTTGAAGGGTTTCCCATTCCTCTCGCACCACAAATCTTACCATAAACAAAAGGGAGTGACCCTCCAAACATCCCTGACTCAACTCTCCACTAGACACCCTATCCAAGCCTCAATCAAATCCACTGTGGATCTTAGGAACCCCTAAGACATGCCAAACCCGATAAAAAACATAGCCCAAACGTAACAAGACATTGGGTAGTGCAGAAGAAGGTGATTCACGGTTTCCTCTGTCTTGTTACACATACAACACCAGTTAACCACAATCTGTTGTCTCCTCCAAGAGTAAGAATACTTCTGTGAGCCACACACCACACAAAGAATGCCACCTTTAATGGGGCTTTCGACATCCAAATCGCCTTCCACGGAAAGGGAGGGCCTAAGATCTCCGAAAGGTTGTGATTAAATGCTCTAACCTCAAACACACCTCTCGAAGTGCCCACCCGCACCATCTCATCCAATCTCGCCCTCTCCACCACCTAGCTAAAAAGCAAGGCTAAGAACTCAGTAACCTCCGTGAGCTCCCAATCACGAAACTCTCTACGAAAATGCACATCCCAAGTCAACCTTCTGCTATCAAGCTGATAACATTCAGTAACCCGAGCAAGTCTACTCGAAGAGATCCTGAACAGCCGAGTAAACCTACGAGACAAAATAAAGTCCCCACACCAGCGATCCTCCCAAAACCTGACGTGACTCCCACTCCGAACTTTGAACCTGATACGTTTGGAAAACACATCCCACCCTTTCCGGATAAGCTTCTAAGTGCCCGTACCCACTAGAGCTCTCACTTCCCTAGACAACCACCCACCATCGCCCTCCCCATGCCAGCAAGCAATGATTCTCCTCCATAAGCGAGGCCTCTCCTTTTCGAATGCCCAAGCCCCCCTTATGAAGAGGGGAGCACACCTCCCAGTTCACCAAAAGGTATCTGGACTCATCAACTATGCCACCGCACTAGAAATTCCTCTGGATTTCATCTAATCTCTGAATAATAGCCTTCGACATCGGGAATAAAGACATGTAATAGGTTGGAATGTTTTAAAGGGTGCTCTTCATTGGGGTAATCTTCCCCCCTTTCGAAAGGTACTGCTTCTTCCACCCTACAAGTCTCCTCTCGAATGGCTCGACCACGGGGTCCCAAATTGAAGTCCTCCTCGACACAACTCCCAAAGGGAGTCCTAAATAAGAAATTAGGAGAGCACTTACACCACACCCAACAACATCTCCCAAGTCCTAAATCCTTCGATTGCCTCGACTAGGTACAACTCACTCTTCCCGATATTGGTCTTCAGCCTCGAAACGATTTGAAAACAGGCCAGAACATATCTCAAGAACCTCAATTGATCCACCTTAGCATCACAGAAAACTATAGCGTCATCCGCAAACAACAAATGAGATATAATGAGCTGATTAGGATTGTTTCCCACGAAGAACTCTAGAATAGAAGGCAACTCTTCCGCACTCATCAATTTGCTGAAAGCCTCCATGACAATGATAAACAAGGACGGGGAGAGAGTATCACCCTGGCGTAATCCTTGAGAGCTAGCGAAGAAGCAAGATGGGGAGCCATTCACTAATACTCTGAACCGTGCAGTCAAGATGCATTGATAGATCCACTTTCTCCATCTACGACCCAGTGTTGTTAAAGGTGCGTCTAGGCTCCAGGCTCTTACATGCGCAACACTTGCACTTGTTGTGTGCCCAAGTGCGCCTTTGACAACATTTGCGCTTTCTATATGAAATATGAATATGCTTTAATAGTAATTTAATTTTTTCCATTGTGCGCCTCGCCTCACGCCTAGGCTCTAAAGGACCTTTAGCGACTTAGTGCGCCTTGGGCCTTTGATAACGCTGGTAGGAGTGTAGGACCAAACCCCATCCTTTCCAGCATATACATCAAGAAGTTCCAACAAACATGATTATAAGCCTTCTCGATATCCAGCTTGCAAATAATCCCCGGAATACCACTTCTAGCTTTGGCCTCACACTCACTAGCAACCAACACTGAATTCAAAATACGAGGGATGCCAAGTATAGCATTTCGGGACTCCAAAGTCACCTCATCAGAACTCTTTTCAAATGGATAGCTAAGACTTTAGCGAGGATCTTGTACACTGCTCCCACCAGACTAATCGGTCTAAAGTCATTAGCCTCTACAACACCACCCTTCTTTGGGATAAGGGTAATGAAGGAAGCATTGAGACTCCATGCCCATTAGAATGAAAAGAACTCAAGGCACCCAACACCTCTGGCTTCACCACCTTCCAATTTTGTTGGAAGAAAGCCAATGAAAAACCTTACCCGCCTGGGGCTTTGTCACCATCACAGCTCCTCAAAGCCTCCAACACCTCCTCCTCCTCAAATGGCTGCTCAAGCCAGTCCCTATCCTCAATGGAGATCCCCGAGAACTAGCACATCGAGCAACGGCCTTTAGCTAACAGTCTTTGTGAAGAGCTTCTGAAAAAAATCCACAAAACCGGTCCGGACATCCTCTTCCCTTGACACCATGATCCCATCAACATAAGTCCTCCCAATAAGGTTACCTCTTGTACGTGCATTTGCCAGGCGATGAAAGAACTTCATGTTTGGATCACTCTTTCAACCAAAGCGATCTAGATTTCTGCTGCCACGAGATTTCCTCCATCACAACAATGTCGCCAAACACAGCCTTGCATTCCTACCTCCGGCTCACCTCCAAATCACTAAGGCCTCCCTCCTTGTCCAATTCTGAAATTTCAAGAACAAATCTGTTTTTGCACCACTCCAGATTACCAAGCACTTCCTTGTTCCAAGTCTTGATGTCTCCTTTCAACAACCTAAGCCTTTTTTTTTTTTTTCAACCTAAGCTTTGACACTAAGATGAAGCTCAGACTGCCCCTAACCTCATAATGAGACCACCAATCTTGAACCCTTGCTTTGAAATTGTCCACTCGAAGCCACATATTCTCAAATCGGAAAGGGATTCTCCCACTCTTAACCCCTACGCAATCAAGAAGAATAGGAATATGATCCGAAGCTGCTCACTTGAGGCACATTTGGAAACTTTTCCTCAAATTTGCCTTAAATCAAGAACCCATCCAAGCGAGGAAGAGTAGGTGACTCTCGTCCGCTTGTCCATCTGAACTGACGGCCCTCCATCGGAATGTCAATAAGATGATAAGCATCAATGAAATCCGAGAACTCTGCCTTTGCTGGAGTCCATCTCCCTCCTGTAGATCTCTCACTTTGCGCCCTCACCAGATTGAAGTCCCCTCCTAACACCGCTGGACCGACCACCTTCTCCTAGCAAACAACTTCTCCCACAACCCCCTCCTCTCCACATCTCCCGAAAAAACCCAAAGTGAACCGTCTTCCTCCAAAGAGAATAAAAGAGCAATAGAGGACCTCCCTTTCCACACGTCAAGCTTCAAAACCAATCTCTTGGTCACAAAGAACCACAATACCCCCGGGGGTCCTCTCTGCATCAATCACCTCCCAATCCACAAATCTGCCCCCCCAAAAGACTTTTCAAAACACTGTCCGTTGGGCATGCCATCTCGGATTCTTGCAAGCACACCACTTGCGCTTTCCTTTTGCGAATCAAAGCCTTCACCACCTTCCTCTTGTCCTGGTCGTTCAGGCCTCGAGCTTTCCAACTATTTTGAGCTTCATAGACAAACAATCTCTTTCCCCCCTCCCTTCCTTCCTTCCTTCTTTCTTCTTCTCACTTCCTCCTCCGTTTCTATCCTCACAGTTAACATAGGAAATAAGATTTTTGAGCTCCCTCTCCCCCTTCCAGTAAGGAGCCTTCTTATGTCTCACCACAGCCGACTCGTCGTCAACTGCTTGGAACATCTCATGAACATTGTTTTCATTGCCTGCACTTGACAGACCCAACAAATTACCTGCCCCTTCAATACAACCCATGAACCACTCCCCATCTGCTCCTGCCATGTGAAGGGCTTTTTGCGTTCCCGGACCGCAGCCAAAGGGATATCAATCCCTACAGTGTCAGTGCCCTCCCAAACTGGCGGTTGAATTTCAACATCCCCAGCAAACTCAACAACAGACAAAGCCTCACCTTTACTGGTCTGCAGGTCAACCATCTCCCTCTCCCCGGAACAAAAAGGTCCTCTGTCCTCAAAAGCATCACCGGCCTCTTGTAAAACTGACTCTTCAAATTTTTCCCTGAAGCCAGCAGACTGAAGTTGCAGTTCTGCATGAAGAGCATCCGCAGATGCTTTCCCAATGTGTATCTTGGTTCCGCTACCATTGCACAAAACCACACTCCCATCATCCTTGCCACTCTACAGAATTTTCATCTAATCACACTTTGTTGCAGCAGACTCACCATTGTAATTAGAGAAAACCCCTGTATGGCTAGAGTTAACAGACAATTTCTTGCTATCTTCCTCCGAACAGCCTTCGGAGACCGACAATTTCTTGCTATCTCCCTCCGAATAACCTTTGGATTCCATTTCAAATACAGGCAAAAGTCTCCTACTCTCCGGCAACAAACCCCCACCAAACTCCTCGTTAGAACTCCTCAACACCCACAAGAGGGAGGAGAAGTAGAGTGTAGACATGTCTGAGAGATTGAGACAGAGCACATACCCGGATGATTAGGAGAGACAGATTATTTCACCCATTTCCGTTTTGTCTGCGGGACCATCTTCTGCTTTTAGCCCGGAGAGGTTGAGCATTTGAGTGGTGCATCGACTTAGTCCCAACCTGTGTTTGAACCCCAGTCGTCTTTTCACTGCTTCGATGGAGTTGCATCGCTCTGTTTCTCAAATCTGGAGGTTCATGAGCAGTATCAGTGCAACAATCAATCCCAGAAAGCGGCCCAAAAGAATTACTTAGGAAAGGCCCAACAGACTGGTCCTCCAAGAGACTTGATTGATGTCCACTGGGCTTAACATAATCATTGTGCTTTCTTTCCAGTCTTGAAAACCCCAAGAGCCCAGAGGCATGAGCTGCTGGCCCAAATAGTGCTTATTTTTCACATTAGGTTTGAACAAGGTTGATGCACTGTTTATTTATTTATTTATTTTGTTTGGAAAATTGAGAGAGCTACACTAATCTGTGTACTTGGGTTTTCGTTCCATAAACATGAAATTATAAATGGTGTAATTTCATAATTGCCATTATTCATGATCTTTTATCTTGTAATTTGAATAATTACTGTACCTTGTCTTAATCACTCTGCTTTTGTATGCAGGAGCACTTGGATTATGATGTGGTGAAAAGTACCAATCCAGAGTTCAAGAAAGCAACTGTGCGTATAAATATTTACAAACAGCACAGACAAACAATTCAGGTTAGTAATATGAAGACATGTTTTTCCTTTAACATATATTGTTTTAGGAACTATGAGAATTTTATTATGTGGGATGTGATGACTTCTGTATATCATGATTATCATGATGTTGCATAGTTTTCTGGCGTTGTGCGTACTTGCAGCTATTTTTTTTGATTTTGATTGATATGATATAAGTTCTGTTTTATACAAGTACCTCTAGATTTTTACCTATACATTAATTATGTGACATCATTTCTTAGTTCTTAATCATGTTTATCATAATGCTGCACAGTTTTCTGGCTGTGTGCATATTTCTGTTACGATTAAGATTTTGTTCGTCATTTCTCATTTATATAAGCACTTTCGGATTAAATCAGTTCTTTCTTAATGCTGGAAAAGCAATGGGTTTCATTGTGCCATGTTTGAGTTACTGTACCCTATAAAAGGAGATGCTCAACTCAATTAATCCTTATTTTGACAGTAATTAGCTAGAATATTTCAATTCTCTTTTATACCAGGAAAATGAGGGCAAGGATTAATATAGGATATGCAAATAGTGCGGCTTAGGTTCGCTTGATAGTTGATTATTGAGTATTGACATTGCCAGAGTTATATATGAACACAATCAATAGTTTTTTTTTTAGCACGGCCTTCAGGTGAAGTAATTGATCAACATTATTGTGGTCAGGGACTGTTTGGGGAATGCTCCATTTCATTGAACCGGTAGATTCTTAACAGCTTTTTATTGGGTTGAATTTTATTTTGATGGTCGCTCTTTTGGAAACTGGTGTTGTAGGAGTCCATGGCTTTTGGGGTCATGATGGCAATCCCATAAATAATTTGTGTAACTTTTTGGCTTTAGTAAAAGTGAAAGTGATGACACTAAATTGTTATGTGGAAAACCCTAGAAATGGAAATTCCACGGAATTTTTGGTCCTAGGCATGAACAATCCACTGTACAGAAAGATTTACAACCCTGGGTATACAATTTCTACCCATCACCCAACAAAAAAGAATGCTAACTGTAAGAAATTTCAAAGCCCCAATACGAGATTCCTCTTCATCAAAGGATCTTTTATTCCGCTCCTTCCATAAGCACCACCAAATGCAAAAGGGTGCCACCCTCCAAAAATCACAGCGTGGGATCCCACAGGACATCCTCTCCAAGCATCAATCAAACCTCTCGAAGAATGAGGCATGTTATCCCCTAGGATCACCTTGTTACCTTTCTCAAACAGTGTTGCTGACAAGCATCAAACTTTTTATCCAACAAAGTTGGCTTTCATTGGTTGTTCTTTTGTTCTTTGATCTTCAGAAAACTTGGTTGATTCATGGTAGATAAACTTTATGCTATGTTCAGTTGCTTGGAATTTGTGCTTTCGAATTGGAATTGGAGAAAATTTAGTTCGTGCAACCAAACCGCATTAATGGACTCTGTGTTGATTTACTTGATGGTAAATGAGATTTTTTGGTGTGCTATATGGATTGAATGTAATGGAGTATTTTTTACTATGTGTAGTAACTTTTTATCTTATGTCCACTTAATTGAATGCGGCCTCTATTTTGGTGTAAAATACAGAGATATTGTCAAGGATGAAATCAATTTATGGTGATCTAATTAGTAGTAGAACTTGAAAGTTTTCTTTGAGACTGGAAAATATTAAAATGGACTATAATGAATGATATAGAGTCACAATGTCGTTTTTTTTTTTTTAAATAAGTAAGAGTGTATTAAAAAGCTTTCAAATAGAGAACACATCCCATAAAAACTACACAAGGCCAAAAAAAGGCCACTCAACTCTCAAAAAGTCTAAAAAATCAACTCTCTCCCCCATGGATTTACAATTTCTCCCTGTGACCCAACAAAAAAGTGAACAATTAATAGAGAACTTTAGGACCCCCATTGGGGTCTCCTTGCCGTCAAAGGATCTCCTATTCCTTTCTGTTGATAAACACCGCCAAACACACAAAGGTGTTACCCTCCAAAAGTCTTGGGCTTCGGCATCCACTCTACAACCTCTCCAAGCCTTAATCAAACCCCTGGGGACCTAGGCACAACCCACTGGACCCCAAACAAACCCAATAGTAAGCCCCAACTGTCTTGGGCCACAAGAGAGTGCAGCAGAAGATGATCAATCGTCTCCTCATCTCTCTTGCACATACAACACCAATTAACAACAATCTGTCTCCTCCTTCTCAGGTTGTCCAGAGTTAGAATCTTCCACAGATCAACCATCCATGCAAAAAAGCAGTTCATTGTAATGCACACAACCTTAATCTGTTTATTGCCATATTTACTAATTTTACCATTCAAGTGTAATGATGTGTTAATACAGGTCACTTGGAAATGACATTACAAGAGCTTGGATATACACACACACACACACACACACACGCACATTTTAACATACCGTTAATTTGGATTCGATCTTATTGATTCTGCAGTTTCGTCTCTTTTTGAATAACACTTGAGCTCTGATTTGTTCTTTCTCCCTCTCTCTTTCCACTTATTTTTTTTCATATATAGTTTTCATTTTTTTAACATTCTTTATAAAATAAATTTCCAACAAATACCGTTTTGTGTATATTAAACAACTCATCTGCTTTCATCTCCTCACCCCCTGCTGTAAGCTGTTAGAATAACTTGCATTTGCAAAAACAAAAATTAAGTTGTGGCTTTCAGTTAAGGGATGTCTTTTTAGTTCACATTGTTAATCTACTTTGAAAAACGTTATAATCGAACCGTCTTTCGCCTCTCAGATTTTACCTTTATACGCATGATGGGTTAAAAATTCATAATCTGAATAATCTCATTCACTGGGGCCTTAGGTAAAGCTTTTGTGCAAACCACGTGTTCATTGACATGACTCTAGCCTCACGTGCTGGAGACTTCAACTCCGGTGACCTTCTTTGCTCTTTCTTCTGGTGTGACGTTCCTTTTTTTTGCTGCTTGTGTCTCTCATGAGATCGTTTTTGGAGGTTGCAAGATTACCTAGAATCTCGCAAGGAGGCACTGTGACGGCTGCCAATCCTTTTCGAGGCCCTTCAATTTATCTGGATGAAGATTCTATTGGGAGGCGAAGGGATGTCTGAGGTCTTGTTTGGTGGGAAAGTTTGACAAAGACCTTGGTGATAAGGATCAGATTGCTGAGTGGGCAGGCTGTGCTTGGCCTATCTCCAGTGGAGTCGGAGTTTCGCCACTTCCAGACTCTCTTTTCCTTTTTTGGCTTCCTTCACATGAAGAGGCTTTTCAGGTTCTGAGAGAGGGATAATGGGATTGGGGAGATGCCACATTACGTGTGGATATTTGGTGTTTTAGAATTGGGTGTTTTGGTGTTCTCATGGAGAACGGATTGAAAAGGGTGTTGCTCTACAGTCTTCCCCTTCATCTTTGGTGCCGCTCATTGTTTGTGACTGTTGGAGATTTGTGTGGAGGATTTGTGTTTGTGGAAGCAGATGAGACGAGAGATGCTGAGATTATTCATCTCACTGTGCGTGATGGTGGTGTTTGTCCATGATGAACGTCTTTGCTACAAGGTTTCTGTGCGGGAGGAAAAGCTTTCAGAGCTTGTTCCAACGATGGAGAGTTTGGATGGTGGGGATGGATTGCTTCTGTTAAGAGAGCTACAGGTTCACCTGGCGTTGAAAGGCTTTCATTGGCCCAAATTTAAAAGGCTGGAGCCAAAGGGTGATGTGTTGGATGAGGAGTTTGGGACTCCGCTGGCTAGCAATCCATTCCCCTCTTCTGCTTTCGATGATTGGGAGGGCTTTTCGGGTTCTTCTCTGGATGTGGGGAGTTGGGAATGGTTCCGCAGGAAGGAATTGAGCTGGAAGAAGGTATGTTTGTTCCGTTGGCTGCCGTGGGACCGGAGGGGGAGTGTATGGGAGGTGCTGTTGTTGAGGGAGCTGAAGGTAAGGAGGCAGCGTGGGTGAGGGATAAGGGTGTGGAGGTGGGTTCTCTCATGGGAGTGACTTTTGAGGGAAAGGTGGATGAGGCGATGGGTATGTTTCAGGATGTTCTCAATTTTCAGCAAAAGGAAGGTGTGGTAAGTTGGGGAAGGATTGTCTGTTTTAGGTGGGAGGGAGGTGCAGATTCCCACTTCCTATGTTACTTATGAAAGGAAGAATAGGGGGTCAAGGGAGAGGGGTAGAGGGGGGAGGCAAGGGAAAGAAAATTCAATTGTTTCCCTATGAAGCTACGAATCTTATCATGGAATGTCTGAGGTCTCAATGACCCGGAGAAAAGGATGGTGGTGAAGTTGGCTGTTCGTAAATGGAGAGGTCATGTGGTGTGTTTGCAAGAAACCAAGATTGCCTTGATGTCGGATATGATTGCTACAAACCTATGGGGTGGGAGATTTGTGGAATGGAGGGCCTTGGATGCTATTGGCTCTTCAGGTGGCATCCTTGTTATGTGGGATAATAGATGGGTTTCTAAAGTGGACTCTTTAGGTAGGGAGGTTCTTAGTATCGTGCATACTCTCTTTGGTGGAGGATGGTTTCTAGTGGGTTTTTTTCTGGTGTCTATGGCCGTACGGAGGACGCTGTACACCATTTACTGTGGGAGAAGCGGGGGGATGTCAGAAGGAGACGGTCGTTGTTGTGGTATGTGGGAGGAGACTTCAATGTTGTTCGTTCTCCTTTTGAGAGATCGACGGGGGGTAGGTGGACTTCGGAGATGGAGCTTTTCTCGGGGTTCATTGATGACTTTCAATTGCTTGATCTGCCCTTGGAGGGAGGACCCTTTACTTGGTTTAGTGGCCGTTATCCTCCCACTCTCTCTCGGTTGGATAGATTCGTCATTTCTGGAGATTGGGAGGAGAAGTTTCTAGATGTGATTCAAGCTTCTTTGGCGCGTCCTATCTTTGACCATATTTCGTTGGTGTTGGATTGTGGTGGGCTGCGTTGTAGAAGATCCCCTTTCAGATTCGAGAATATGTGGCTTCGTGCAGAGGGCTTTCTAGATAAGGTCCGGTCTTGGTGGGAGGGGTATGGGGTGGTTGGCACTCCAAGTCATG